AAATATAATAATAGTAAATTATTGCTATTGTAAGGTTCACACTTGGGTTCAAAATAGACCCAAGAGTGGACTTGGTCTCTTTTTTTTTTATTGTCACATAAGCTAGACTAGGTCCACTTTTAATTGCATTGTGAAGCACTTTTTTATAGACTAGGTCTATTTCCTATATGGCATGTGATTTTTTTAAAGAGACCCAAAACATTGTGGGTGCTCTTACTTCTACTGTTCAACACTCATAAACCTCCAATAACAATAAACTCCATAAACTTCATTTTTTATGAGTCCACGTGTTTCCTACTTACTTTTATTTAATATTATTCTCTTATATTTTAATTAATATACTAAAACTATAATTCTACTTTTTATTTTTATTAAATGTAAATATTTCATATATTTACAAAAAATAAAAGAAATGGCCCCACACATGAGATTTATGGGAAATTTTAGTTTGCAAACCTCATGTGCAAACATAAGCCTCAAACCCTTTTCATTTAATGGTAAAAGTTGAGGAGGGGGTTTTATGAGCCTCGGCAAAACTTCACCACTAAAGATGCTCTTAAAATGATACATGCAACTTAGCCTAACATAATGATTTTTCTATGGCATATTATATAATAACTTTATAGATAAAGTTATTTATTGAAATTGTTTTTATTATTTTTCACATAATGGATAACTTAATTTTTAATATAAAAATAATAATAATTATTCATATTATATAATAATTTTATAGACAAAGTTATTTATTGAAAATAATTTTTTTATTTTTCACATAATATTGATGAATAACTTAGTTTTATTATAAAGATAAATATAATTATTCTTTTATATATGCAAGGTGCATGTGAAATTATATTATTTATTTTATATATACAATATGTATGTTGAATCAAAGCTCGTCAAATTAAAATTGGTTAAGCGAAATACTAGTGTGAAGATAAATAAATAAATTTGCAATTATAAAAGTCAATTTGATATAAAAATATTAAATTAATAATTATACTAGAATAATACGCGAGTATGAATTTATATGTTAATTCACAAAAAATATATTTCCAGTACGTAAAGTTTTAATTGAGTGGGATAAAAAAAATTAAAAGTGAACTGATAAAAATATAATTCTTAAAATTGATATGCTATGAAAATAATAGAATAACAATCGTATCATTACATGGCTGAGTATTGGATTTAAGAGTATATCTACAATCGCTCCCCCGACAGCGGGAGCAGATCGAATGTATTGGAGGTTTTCGCCCGATGGAAATTAATTTGGCGTACGTACATGTGCGGAGCCAGAATTTATTATTTACCCGGGCTATAACTATTTTAACAAAAAATAAAAAAATGACAATATTGCAATAAGGTATCAATTTTCATACATTTTTTGATCATGAACATTTCATCTCATCAATTTAAATCTAAAAAATAATTAAATTCAACGGTACTAGTATTTGAATTGTTGAAAAAACATAATAGATAGGAGAAAAAAAATTGTCGCCAATCTATTGTAAAATTGTTATCAAGTGGGTAAACCTCCAATTACTATAAATGAAATAAAATTTTAACACTGTATAATTAATATCGAAAAAAATTAATATTTGGGGGAAAATAATCTAAAAATCTTGGGAAGCTTAACATAATTACCTGCTGAAAAAATCTATTTGTCTTAGTTGTTTGCCTACCGGGCTAATTCAAAACAAAAATATAAAAGTTTTAGAATACAGCTAATGGACTTTTGGAAGGGCCACCGGGGCTACAGTCCAGGGAGATCAATACTTGCCTCCGCCCATGCGTACGTCGGTACCCAACAGACCCGAACCTCTTTGTGGCTAGCTGTTAAGCTTCTCACTAACATGGAGCGGGTTCACCGGCATCTGTCTGCCTCGGCGGCTTGTGACATGTGCTGCGAGAACGAGTCGTTAGTACACGTCTTACGCGATTGCCCAGTGAAAACAAAGTATAAAAAGAAGATAAGAAATGAAAAGGATATGCTGCTGTATGTGATTTCTGATAATTTTTATTGATTCAATACAAAGCAAATGTACATGCATATATAGCACAACAAGTAGCTATACTAGGAAATATTCTGTATCAATTACAATCAACTTAAATGATATGTAATCCCTGATTTTCTTCATTTCCTGCAATTAACAAATCTTCCCATAATACTCCCCCTCAAATTGGTGTGTGTATGTCATGAACACTCAATTTGTTGAGAATTGGCTGGAAATTGGATGAACTGAGTGGCTTAGTAAACAAATCAGCAAGTTGTCCCTTTGAAGGAACGTAAGCAGTCTCTATGTCTCCTGATTGAATTTTTTCTCGAATAACATGACAATCTATCTCTATATGCTTTGTCCGTTCATGGTAAACCGGATTAGCCGCAATATGTAACGCCGCTTGACTATCACAAAATAGTTTCGCTGGTCGTGGGTGTTCTACTCGCAAGTCACTCAACAAGTATCTTAGCCATGTGAGCTCACATGTAATTGAAGCCATTGCTCGATATTCGGATTCTGCTGAAGACCTTGACACAGTCGTTTGTTTCTTTGTTTTCCATGAAATGAGAGCTCCTCCAAGAAAGATGCAATACCCAGTTACCGATCGTCTTGAGATTGGACAACGAGCCCAATCAGAATCACAGAATCCTGTTAATAGAAAATTCGCCTTGGCTGGAAAAAATAGTCCTCTCCCAGGTACACCTTTAAGGTACCGTAAAAGATGATGGACAGCATCTAAATGAGGTTTCCTTGGTTCTTGCATAAATTGGCTTAAAACATGAACAGAATAGCTAATTTCCGGTTTAGTAATTGTGAGATAAATAAGTTTACCAACCAATCTTCTATAAATTGATGGATTTTTCAATTTGTCTCCATCAGTGGGCAATAGCTTTATATTTTCTTCCATAGGAATCGACAAAGGCTTGGCTCCAAGAAGACCTGCTTCTTCTAAAATATCAAGTGTATATTTTCTTTGAGATATTGAAATACCAGTAGCTGAACGGGCAACTTCAACTCCAAGGAAGTATCGTAATTGGCCGAGGTCTTTAATCCGGAACTTTGTACCAAGGAAGTCTTTTAGAGCGCCGATTTCTCCATTATCATTACCTGCTATAATCATGTCGTCAACATAGATGAGCACAACAGTGAAACTATCACCAGAAACTTTAGTAAAAAGTGAATAGTCAGCCGATGATCGTTGAAAACCATTTTGTTGGATACTATCGGAAAACTTATGAAACCAACTTCTGGAAGCTTGCTTTAGCCCATATAATGATTTGTTTAGTCGGCACACCATAGGTATCTCCCCCTGCCGACAAAGACCGGGAGGTGGTTGCATGTATACTTCTTCCGTTAAATCGCCATGAAGGAAAGCATTTTGTACGTCCATCTGTTCAATGGTCCAGTTACGAGCAGCAGCTACAGCAAGCAAACAACGAACAGTCGTTAATTTTGCTACCGGCGCGAATGTCTCCTTGTAGTCGATTCCTTCTCGTTGATTGAACCCCTTGGCCACTAAACGAGCTTTATAGCGCTCAATTGTGCCATCGGAATTATATTTAATTTTGTATACCCATTTAGAGCCAATGGGACGATGACCAGGGGGGAGAGTTGTAAGTGTCCAGGTGTTATTTTCCTCAAGGGCTTTTATTTCTGCATCCATAGCCTTACGCCAATTTGGATCAAGTAGAGCCTGTTCATAATTAGCTGGCTCTACAGGTGTATTAATAGCACAAATAAATTTATGATATTTTGGCGAAAGATGCGAATAAGAAATATACCTGGACAAAGGATGACGCGTGCCCGAAGCAGAAGATTGGCCATGATCTGATTGGGAAATATTATAAAGGTGGTAATTCTTCAAATGAACATTTGACTGTCTAATGCGATCAGAACGACGTGGAACATTGGGTAATGGATGCTCAGTGATATTAGTATCAGGAATATTCTCATTTTCAGGAAGAGTATTACTGTCTGTTTGTACATCTTCTGAAGTGGAAGGTAATGGGATGACAATTTCATCAAGTTGGTCTTCTTGATGGTTCATGCGGAATGGAAATATATGCTCATGAAACACGACGTCTCGCGACGAAAAGAATTTATTAGTTACAAGATCATAAACTCGATAACCTTTTTGACCAAATGGATAACCAACAAATATGCATTGACGAGCTCTTTGATCAAATTTATGTACAGGTAGAAGGTTAGTAGCATAGCAAAGACATCCAAAGGTTCGAAGATGATTATATATGGGAGTCTTATTATGCAAAATTTCATATGGAGATTTATATGAGAGAAGGGGTGTAGGCAACCTGTTAATTAGATAGCAAGCTGTTTGTATACTTTCTCCCCAAAATTTTAAAGGCAAATTTGCCTGAAAACGAAGAGCTCGTCCCACATTTAGAAGGTGACGATGTTTTCTCTCAACTACTCCATTTTGTTGGGGAGTTGAGGGGCATGAATGGTGATAATTTATTCCCTTAGTTGCTAAATAATCTTTCATTGATAAAATTTCTGTACCATTGTCAGTTCGAAGAGTTTTGATCCTGCAACCAAATTGTGTTTCAACCCAAGAAATAAAAGATTTTAATAACTCTTGTGTTTCTGATTTAAAACTCATAAGATGTATCCAAGTATATCTAGAATAATCGTCGACTATTGTCAAAAAATAACGAGCACCAGAATGAGATTTTATTTTATGCGGCCCCCAAATATCACAATGTATCAAGTCAAACGGTGATTGAGAAGAAATTGTACTGGAAGGAAAAGATAAACGTGTTTGTTTTGCAAGGGGACAAATTTCACAAATATGCTTTGAATCAAAACAAATTTCAGGAATAGTTTTGCTTAAAACTTGAAGAGGACCAGATGACGGATGCCCAAGTCGGCTATGCCAAATATTCGAGATATTATTTAAAGTGCATGCTAAAATTAAATTTTCATTCTGCTGTAGGTAGTAAAGGCCATTATGTTGCTTGCCCAGGCCAATCGTCCTCTTCGTAGCAGCGTCCTGCACAACACAAGAGTCCGGGGTAAAAGTTACTGTACACCCAAGTGCTCGAGTTAGTTTGCTCACAGATAATAGATTAACTTGGAAATCTGGAACTTTAAGAACACCCTCGAGTTTAATGTTGTGTGTAATATCTAATGAACCAACTGACTCGATATTTGCCTGACCACCATTTGGCATATTAATTATTGTTTTTCTAGACAAATTTTGTGAATTTAATAGCCTGAATGAGGACGTGACGTGATCAGTGGCTCCACTATCAATAATCCAACCAGAATTTAAGTGCTGAGAATTATGAGATATTGGTTTGATAGTACCTGTAGTATTAGCAAATCGTTGAGAGTTACCGTCATTGTTTTTCTGAATTATGGCCAATAGTTGATTGTACTCCTCGGTTGTAAGTCTTGGCCCATCAAGGTTCTGAACAGACTTCCCGCTGCTATCTGGTGCAATGTTTCTCTCCAGTTTTACATTATTTGCAGTATTTTGGCGTTGATTTGGAGGTTTCACACTTTTTCCGTGTAGTTTATGGCCGGTAGGAAACCCATGAAGATAATAGCATCTTTCAATGCTATGATTGTTGAGATCACAATAGGAACAATGTCGTTGCGTCTTGTGTTTTTGAACTTTATGGACTTGAGAAATTTTTGAATTTTGATCTACCAGCATAGCATGATGATTCATATTTCCTTGATTAATGGAGACTTCAACCTGTTTTTCTTGTTGTAGAATGAGAGAATAGACTCGACGAGTGTCTGGTAGAGGTTGCATTAGTAGGATTTGTCCACGAGCAGCAGCGTAACTCTCGTTTAGTCCCATGAGAAATTGCATAACTCTCTCTTTCTCATCCCTTTTCTTGAGTTGTTCCAGTCCTCCACAAGAGCATGTTAAAGGCTCATGATATGATGAAAGCTCATCCCAAAGGGCTTTCAGTTTTGTGTAATAAACTGAGATGGATTGTTGCCCTTGTCTATGTTCCACAATCTCTCTTTTTATTTGAAAAATTCTGGAGTCATTTCCTTGTGAGAAGCGCTCCTCAAGATCAGCCCAAATTTCTGATGCGGTTTCAGCATAGATGACGCTACTTGCTATATCTGGGTGAATCGAGTTCAATAGCCACGAAATCACCATGTCGTTGCATCTTTGCCAATATGGAAATTTCGCATCGGATTTTGATGGTGCTTTGACTGATTTTGTGATGAATCCAATCTTATTTTTCGCGCTCAGACTTATTCTCATTGCTCGACTCCAAGTGCTGTAATTATCGCCTTCCAGTACCTTGGAGACGAGTATCATGCCTGGGTGGTCTGATTGTTGTAGAGAGTATGGATCTGAAAATTCTACACCAGATCCAGACATTTTGGTTTGAAGATTTTCTTCAGTACTCATGGGGTTACGAGATATAGCGGAAGCGTTGGAAATATTTATTCACCAGGTTCAGTTCTCTGATGCCATGAAAACAAAGTATAAAAAGAAGATAAGAAATGAAAAGGATATGCTGCTGTATGTGATTTCTGATAATTTTTATTGATTCAATACAAAGCAAATGTACATGCATATATAGCACAGCAAGTAGCTATACTAGGAAATATTCTGTATCAATTACAATCAACTTAAATGATATGTAATCCCTGATTTTCTTCATTTCCTGCAATTAACAAATCTTCCCATAATACCCAGACACTAAAACCCTCTGGGCCCGACTTCTGTCGCCAGACTGTCACCGTGAGTTCTTCCAGCCGCCACTTAAGCCATGGCTGCGCATGAATTTAGCAAGGGTCGGCTGGGGACGTTTGACAATTGGGGTTCCATGTTTTCTATCACTGCATGGCGAGCATGTGGATGGCAAAACCATAGGATTTTCAATCAGCATACCCTAAGTTGCGATTCAAAATGCCGGGAGGTGATGAACCTGGCTGGGAGTTATGGACGTGTCGTAACAGCACTCGAGAGCCCCGATCCATACCACTCGGATGATACATTGGGTTCCACCCGCATCGGGGTGGTTCAAGGTCAACACTGATGGCGCTTTTGATAGAAATACGGGTCGGAGTAGTACGGGTGGATTAATTCGGGATGATATGGGGAGCTGGATTAAGGGATTCCTCATGAATATTGGCGCTTGCACTCTTACGGGCGCCGAATTTTGTGGCCTTTTTCGGGGATTGCAGCTTGCTTGGGACCGGGGGATCCAACGAGTGTTAGCCGAAGTTGATAGTCAATGTGACGCAAATGGTCCTTGGGACCGAGGACATTGGTGGGGCTCATGCCTCGCTGATTATGGCTATTCGTAGCATGATTCAGAGGGACTGGAGCATCCGGATCCACCACGTTCATAGGGAAGCTAACTTTGCAGCAGACCATATGGCGAGCTTAGCGTCTTCATTTCCTCTCGGGTTGCAGCGAGTGTCTTCTCCTCCTGCAGGAATGGTATGTGGCTTGATCATATTGTGGGTGTGTCTTACCCCCGTCGAGTCTAGTATAGTAGCATTGGGCCTCCGCCTCTTTTATTGCACCGAAAGAAAAAAAAAAAAGTATATCTACAATTTTAAAAAGTATGTACACCTATAAAAGAATTATTTCGTTTTTCCAAATTATTTTTCAAAAGACATCCCTATTAATCTTATTAAATGAGAGAAATATTATATATTGAGAGTGAGAGTTATGTGAAGGTGTGGGTAGTGACTGTGATGCATACTAATTGATCATTGGGATGATATATTTATTTTAGAAGTGAATTAATTATTAATTAATTAGAGAATACGTGAAAGTGACTGAACAGCTTAAAACAAACATAAAATTTAATGAAGATATCTCGTTCGTTAAAGTTAACGGAATTAACCAACATAAATCGCTCCAGGCCTCCACCAATTAAAAAAGCGATGCTCCATTCAAAGCTTTCCCTCTATAAATCGTTACTATGGACTTATTGAAAGAATTTCATTTGGACTTTCAAACATAAATTCCTCCGTGGTCCAGACCCACCTCATTCATAAGCAGGCTTAGTTGGGGGCCCAAATAGCACCATTAACCATTTGGCCCAATATAGCCCATTTATTCTTCTTCTTCTTCTTCCCAGTCGCCGGACAGTGGTAGACGCAGCAGCTCACCAGCACCACTATTTGCTCTAAGCTGTTAAATCTATCAACGATCCTTCATGAATCGCATTGTTAAGCGCGTGTTTTCCACAGCAGTTGCCAGCTACCTCAAACCCTCGCGTGGATTGTCAGTGTTGTTGCAGAATGAGAACCCTCGCGCACTCATGAAATTTCAGGTACTGCAGTCTTTACTCGATTTATGAGCTCCCCAATTATTTTTCCATGTTAACTTTCGCGCACTTCAATCATTCTGTTTCTTTGCAATGTCTTCGTGTTTATTGCAATCTCTGCGCCAATTATGTCACCATATAGATGGTTTTCGTTGTTTTCTCGATTCACTTTTACACAGTGGAATTAGTGAGTATGTTTTTGTAGCTTTTGGGAGCTGCAAATGGTCTATTATGTTTATTATTTATTTTGTTAAAAAAAAAGTNAGCCGTTTGGGGTTAAGTGATGTTCATTCACCTTGTTAAATTGGACTGCTTTACTTGTGTGAAATGAGAACAATTAAGAGAGTAAATGCATATTACATAAAATAGGAGAATCGACATAGAAATGCGGAAATATCAACTCAAATGCTGCTGTTTGGCTGCCTCGAATACTTTCTTCTAGAAACTGCATACTTATACAATGCAATGTCATACATATGTTTATATTATATTTTAAAGTATGGCATTCGAGTATTTAAGTGTGTATATTTGTTGGGAAAGTATGGCTTAGGCGTAATAGAAGACCTACCGCCAATGGATTAACTTTTTTTCTCTAAGTTTGATTTCTTCGAATGATAACAAAGTAATTGGACGAAAAAGTAAAGATCATAAGGTTCTAAACTTATGCTCATCTGTCACTGTACTTTTGCAACAACAACAACAACAACAACAACAACAATAACATACCCAGTATATTCCCAACAGATTGGGGTCTGGGGGGCCAGTTGTACGCAGACCTTACCCTTGTAATTATACAAGGAGGCTGTTTCCGTAGCGACCCAAGGTGCATTGCGCCGTTTGATATATATTTTTTTTTCTAGAAACTTCACTAATAGAAGAAGCACTAGAATTTAATTGAGCTATTTTGATCTAGTCCATTATTAGCACTATGCCAGGAGAATTGTCAACAATGACTCTTCCAGCTCCATTTGCAATGGACAATGTCACTGTACTTTTGCACCTCATACAATTTTTCCAGTTGATGTTGCATAATAGTTTTTGCTCCTGCTTTGTATATATCAAAGAAAGAGAAAAACTTCGTCCATTATGATTAAGATAAAGAGTCGTTGTTCATCTCTATAGAACTCATGGACTGATTTGTATTTCGTAGAAGGATAAAAGTTTGATGTTTGCATTTTTCTCATCTGTACCAGTTCTTCTTGGAAATTATGCAGCCCAATAAGATATCATTTATCTTTGATAAAATCCTTGAGGCAACCGTTGGAAGCATATTGATAACAGGCGAATAAATTATACCACCGTGTGGAAAATAGTTTGCAGCTTAAAGTGGTGTAGGACAAATTATTATTATTACTATTTTTTTTTTCTTTTTAATGGAGAAACAGCCCGGAAGGGTGTAGGACATTTGAATGGATGAGTTTGCTCAGTATAATATTCCTTGTGGTTGTATTAAAATGCGTAGTGGGATTTGTTGATATTGTTGACAATTTATGGAGTACCGACTGTCGAGGATGATGAATATCATTTCACGGAGCCTTTCGTGTATCTTAGTCTATCTAACTATTTGCTGACTTGTGAAACTGCAGCAATTGTGCAGAAGAAATCCAGTGAATGTACAATCTCGAAAATTCTCATCATCATTCCTTAGAAAAGGTAGGTCTAGCTTTATTAAATTTTTCACTGCCATTTCTATGTGAAGCTTGTCTCAGTGTCATTTAATTATGGAAGTTATTGAAAATTCTGTTTAATCGTTTTATCGTTCCCTCTTAATCTGTTCATGTTTCTTCTCAAATTAATATAAATTATGAATGGATGAATTTGATTCCTGCAGTTTATTGTACATCTTGATAACAAATGGTTGTTTAAATGCCATTCTGATAGATGAAAAATCAATAGAAGAGGAGGCGGAAAGGAAAATAGGATGGCTGTTGAAGACAATTTTCTTTGGGACTGCAGGTCTAGTTAGTTACAACTTATTTCCATACAT